GCTACGCGAAAGTGTAGAGAGTGAGTGAGTTTAGTTTTACGCCGCTTTTAGCCATATCACGGCTGCTGACACCTGAAATGGGCTTCACACACTGTTGCCATGTAGGGAATCGAACCGTTGTCTTCGGCGTGACGGGCGAACGCCTTAACCCGTAGGCTACCCAACCACCCCGAAAGTGTAGTAATCTTATAAATATGTTCGTAAGGCGAAAGCCCCACAAAATATTCCGTAACACTAATCACATGAAGCGCGTCTAAAAAACTTCTAGAATCTATCGTTAATTTGCAGTGTGATATTCACATAATTTCTTCAAACACAATCTTCATATGCCTGGTTTGTTTGATTCATGTTTAACGCTCATGATGTCAATCACTGGTTCAGGTTTGATTGTTTGTTTGTGGCGCTCTGTGAATAATCGAAGTTGGACCAGACAATCCAGTGATCAACATCTTGAGCATCGATCTACGCAACTGGGACACGATGACATGTGTCAACCACGTCAGCGAGCCTGACCAGTACCTCTGTGGGGAGGCGACATTATTCTGAGCAAATACATTGTATAATTGTACACGCACAAGCACGCGCACGCGCACACGCACACGCTCGCACACCACACCACCGCCCAAAAACATACACACGCGCTATTCAATGTAACAGAATTATTAGTGTTTATGCTGCCAGAACCCGGTCATGGCTTGCATTCGGATCACACCAGCAGTAAACGTAAACTTTTTTCGTTCCCTATACAAAGACAGGGAGACGGTCTATTTTCCAACACATTGCATGTGCTTTTAGCACATTCTGAATTACAACAGTCAGTTGGACATGTATGGGTGTTCATGCGTGCATGTATTCACAATTCTATTATCAATTGAAACATTCCCCTCGTGAGAATTGCGAAACATAATCCGTCTGGTAAACAATATGTTTTGGTACGGCGGTTTTGATTGACAGATTGATGGATTTCCAAAGTGCAACATGTCTATGGTCTGCAATATCTGAACATGAAACCCCTAATAAGGACAAAGGTCGGTACGTGAAGGATTTTAAGTTGTTGTTTTTTATGTGTGTGTATTCCAATATATCACTCAACTGAATTACGACAACCTGCTTCTCGTGTATTGTCTCACGTTCACCCTGGACTCCTTGTGATGCGGCTTACTGCAGGAAATTGTTGGACTCTTGTGACACTTGGCAATGTGATACTGGCCTAAAATATGGTTGATTATATACTCATGTCAATAATGGTTGTCACCCCCCCCCCCCCAACCCCCACACACCTCCACCCCCCCTCTCCAATTAAAAAATTGAAGGGGGTGACAACCATTAATGGCATGAGTATATCTCCATGACTTCATTATACAATGTGAGGTGAAATTGGGTTTAACGTCGTGCTTGAGAATATTTCGCACATATGACGACGTTTATGCACTATAAACTGGTTTTATAGTGCTAGCCCACTGAAATACCATGCCGCAGTGAAGCATGAATACCCCACTCAGACACATTATACTGACTCCGAGCCGACCAGTCCTTGCTGTACCCATAAATGCCGAGCGCCAGGCAGGGACCAACAAGTACCATATTTTAACGTCTTTTGGTATGACGCGGTCGGTGATCAAACCCGCGACCTTCCGCTCTCCGGGCGGACGCTCTAACCACTACACCGCGGAGGTGGTCTAATACAATGTGAAGGTAAAGGGATGGTATCAAAACGATTCGGGGGACAATATCAAAAACTATTGTGAGCATTACAATGTTATAAGTAGCCACCTCTTGCATGAAGAAAACAGTGAGCCCTCCCACAACAACTAATAAATAGTTTGACTCTGAATGTGAAAAAAATCAGACCGATGTAGAGCTCTGAATAAGTTTAGGAAATCGAAAGATAAAGAATCATACGATCAATATTGCGCTAAAAGAAATAAATATAACTCAATTTGAAAGGAAAAGCGCCTTAATTATTATAAAGAGAGGCAGAGAGTAATAGAAAACAGTATATCTGATTCAAAAAAAATTTGGTATGAACTCAAACACCTGAATACTAGACATGAAGCTCAAAACAACATCGAAATGAACGACAGGCTAGAACACTTTCGGACACTGTTTAACTCTTTACACAATGAAAATGACGAGGTAACATGTGATAATTTCGACAATGAAAACCCATCAGATCCGAATTCAGAGCTTACCAAGGTAATACTTGATTCCCCAATTACTAGAGATGAAATCTTAGATAGCATTAACCAATTGAAATGTAATAAATCACCAGGAATTGATAAAACAATATCTGAATTTTTTAAATACTCAGCAGATCTTATCGTCCGGTACTTAGAATTGCTCTTTAATTTGATATTAGAAACTGGTACGTTCCCCAGATGTTGGGCAATTGGCATAATAGTTCCTATCCATAAACAAGGTAATATAAATAATCCAAATAATTACAGAGGCATAACACTACTGAGCATATTTAGTAAAACTTTCACCTCTATAATAAATAAAAGACTTGTAAACTGGGGAGACTCAATGGATAAGATCAGCGAAGTGCAAGCTGGCTTCGGACAAGGATATACGACAGTAGATAATATGTATATACTGCAAAGTAGTATTCAAAGGTATTTAAAATCTAAAGGGGGAAATTCGACGCATTATTTGTAGATTTTTCAAAAGCTTTCGATTCAATACAACGAAAAAAAACTTTGGCTTCTATATAATACCTTTGGTCTCAGTGGTAAATTGAGTAAACTTTTATGCAATATGTATGAAAATGTTAAGGCTTGTATTAAAAGTAATCATAATTACTCAGAAACATTCGACTTGCAACTTGGTGTGAGACAAGGCTGTATACTAAGCCCATTTCTATTTTCCTTTTTTATTAATGACTTAGCACGACAAATCGAAACTAATTGTGTACACGGGATTCAACTCCACCCTGATATAGTTCATATTTTCCTATTGCTATTTGCAGATGACATTGGTTTGTTCTCAAGCACGATTAATGGCTTACAGAATCAAATTAATGAACTTGAAAGTTACTGCGATAAATGGAAATTAACTGTAAATAGAGAAAAAACGAAAATTGTTGTATTCAAAAATGGAGGCAAATTGTCAAAAAAGGAAAACTGGTTATATAAAGGTATGCAGCTGGAGTGTATTAACTTTTATAAATATTTGGGACTATATTTCACCAGTGGCCTGTCATGGACGAGGCATGAAAAATATGCAGCGTTACAGGGACAAAAAGCATTAATTGGAATTATGAAACAGTTGAGTGTACTTGGTAATATTAACAACTCTTCATTCTTTAAAATATTTGATGCCAAAGTCAGTCCAATTTTATCATTGGGGCCGAAATTTGGGGAATAACAAAATTTGACGAAATTGAAAAAATCCATTTATACGCATGCACAAAGTTCCTCGGAGTTAAAATTAACACTATTAACGCAGTGATTTATGGTGAATGCGGTAGGTACCCAATGCACATTCTTACAAGCATTAAAGTTATTAAGTACTGGCTAAAACTGTTGATTATGCCTTCAAATCGCTTACCCAAGAAGTGTTATAATATGATGTTGTTATATGATAAAGGTGGACCAAAAAACTGGGCAACTAATGTAAAAAAAACAAACAATATGTCGAATCACCTACGTTATTCATACAATCCTTAACGACAAGACTAAAAGATATGTATATTCAAACATGGTGTGAAAGGATATCCTTATCAAATAAATGCATGTATTATTCATTGTTTAAAAATGCCATAGTTCTTGAGTCATATCTATCCTGTGTTAATGTTAAAAAGTTTAGAATAGCACTGGCACGATTCAGATGCTCTTCTCATGATTTGTTGATTGAAAGAGGCAGATATATGAATGTAAAAAGAGAAAATAGAATATGTACACTTTGTAATTTTAACGAAATAGAAGATGAATTACATTTTCTCCTAATATGTCCATTTTATGACCGGTTGCGAATAAAATATATTAAAAGATATTACTATGTCCATCCAAATGTGATAAAATTCTCCTCACTGTTAAGTAGTAAAATCCAGTTCTTCTACAAAATATTTCAATGTTCATTTACTATGCTATGATTACCCGATCTAAATTCCTCTCAAATGTAACATAACTTTATGTACTATAGGCCTGTGGCCTTCTCAGTGCAAATAAAGATTATTATTATATATTATGATACTGACACTCTTTGATGTCCTGGATGGAGGGAGTGAGTGAGTATGGTTTTACGCCGTTATTTTTAGTTATTCCAGCAATATCACAGCGGGGGACACCAGAAATGGGCTCTCACATTGAGCCTATGTGGGGAATCGAACCTCGGCGTTCGGCGTTATGAGTGAATGTTGTAACCACAAGGTTACCCCAGCGCCTTGTATAGGGAGGGGGTTGTTCATGATTGACGTAAACTGGTTGGGGATTGTTGCATCAATGTTATCATAATTGTATTCACTATAGGCAAAGTGGTCGATCGATCGATCGATCGAGAGAGAGAGAGAGAGAGAGAGAGAGAGAGAGAGAGAGAGAGAGAGAGAGAGAGTTGTTGTAATTTTATATGTTTAGCTTGGCAAGTTTGAATCCAGGCATTTGAACTGTACATCTGCTCATGATTATTATATTATCATTTCATAACACGCAAAATATTACGGAAAACAACAATAGTGATCAAAGGTCTCTCTCTCTCTCTCTCTCTCTCTCTCTCTCTCTCTCTCTCTCTCTCTCTCTCTCTCTCTCTCTCTCTCTCTCTCTCTCTCTCTCTCTCTCTCTCTCTCTCTCTCTCTCTCTCTCTCTCTCTCTCTCTGTCTTAACCCCCGGATCCGCCCCTGGTTTAATATAATTCGTGTCCTGTGTATCCTCGTCGATGTACCATTTCGTGTATGCTTCATGTTTAACCACAATAAAACCTACATGTAGGCTTTCTTTTGCCCGGTAGCATACACATATATGTCACTTTTGTAAAAGATAACATGAAGTCAAAATACAACTCACCTTGCCTGTTTCTTTGATAATTCCGGATCTACCCCTCACCAAACTGTTCCGATTTAGAGGAAGGGTGCGTGGGGCAAGATGATTGATTCCGAGATAACTACCTGTACACACTGAACACTGCCTCCACGAAAGAGAGGCGTGCTAAAACGTGGCGGGAAAAGCCGAGTAAATCTGAATGCCCTCACATCGGCAACATGTGTTGTAGATAATGACTACGCCAGCAGGTAGAGCCGTAATGAAGTAGTAGGCCTTACCTTTATTGTCTCACCTGTGGGTCGGTCGTATATCCGACCAAGTGAAGAAATCCTCTTGCTGTTAACACTGGCTTGTTATTGATCGGGGCCGATAACATCGCCGCTTAATACCACAGCGAGTGTTTACAACGCTTGCTAATAACCACCTCAGCAAGATGATAACAAACTATGAGGAACTTTAAATCGATAGATTTATGTTTTCGTCAGATGTCAGCCCATGGGTTTCAGCAAACAGATAAGACTTTATCGTACATAAACCAATAGAGGAAGGCGGTCGTTATCAATATTCATATATTTATTGGCAGTTTATTACAGTTCACCACGACTGTTCAGCAAATATGCATGATGAAACATGTTTGGGTTTAGATGGTATGAATCATTAATAATTTGTTTGTTGTTTAACGCCACGCAGCAACAACCCACTATGTGTAGAGGTCAGTAAATAGTCGAGTTGAAACCTGAACCAGTGACTGCTGTCGTAAGTCGTAAGAGGCGACTAACGGATCGGGTGGTCAGGCTCACAGACTTGGTTGACACATGTCATCGTATCCCAATTGCGTAGATCAATGCTCATGCTGTTGATCACTAGATAGTCTGGTCCAGACTCGATTATTTACAGACCGCCGCCATATAGCTGGAATATTGCTGAGTGCGGCGTTAAACAACAAACAATCAAACCTGAACCAGTGATTGACATCATGAGCACCAAGTGTGAGGAAGCGATGGCAAGCATCAACCAAGTCAGCGAGCCTGGCCACCTTATCCCGTTCGTTGATTCCTTCAAAAAGCATGGGTTTCTGAAGACCAGTTATAACCCGAATCTTCATGATTGCATTAGTAAGTAATATTGATTGAGTGAGGGAGTTGGGATTTACGCCGCTTTTAGCAATATTCCAGCAGTATCACGGTGGGGAACACCAGAAATGGGCATCACATATTGTACCCATGTGAAAATCGAGCCTGGGCCTTCGGCGAGACGAGCGAACGCTTTATCCGCTGGGCTACTCCACTGCCCCGCGATGCTACTGAGGGAACCATAATACACAGTACAACCAGAAATTATTGAGAAGTTAAAGATTGTAATATTTTTATTTTTTTCACTCATTACTCACGTATTAAATGTGAATATTAGCAGAACATAACTCCAGATTCAAAGACAGGTGAACAGTTAGTATTTTGTCAAGTCACCATGGGCAGCAATGCAGGCTTCAATGCGGCGGGGCATACTACTGATCAAAGAAGTTAGAAAGTCGTGGTCCATGCTGTCCCAATATCGGACCACCTCTTCTTTCATTTCAGCAATATTTGTCAGATTTTTCTTATTGACATTTTCCTTCATAAGTCCCCAAACATTTTCTATTGGATTTAGATCAGGGCTATAGCTTGGCTAATCTAATAATGTCATAGTTTGGGTCGGAAACCAGGCCTGTGAATGCTTTGAACGATGTTTTGGGTCGTTGTCCTGCTGGAAAATCCAAAAATTTCTATAGAACACGTGAGCAGATGGGAGTAAATGTCCTTCGATGTAAATGTTCACTGTTCATATTCCCTTCAAATACACAAAGGGGCGTTGCCCCTAACACAGATATGCCACCCCACACGTTAAATTTCGGACTGTACTTTGGGCGATGATACAAAGGTTTTCAGTTTGTTTGGTCCAGAATTTCAGTGTATTAGGAAACAGCCACACAGAACTTTCATCTGAGAAAAGCACATTAAAATTTCTATGCTGTAAGCACCAATTCAACCTTCGCTCCTTTTATTCATGTTTCATGATCGGTGATGGAATTCCTCGACTTTTCTGCCAACCCATTGCATGCAGCTCAGTTTTAATTGTCTCCATACAGACAGCCACAGTTCCTCTATCAATCATACGCAGCCTTAAAGGTCATATGCAACGTAAAACACAACTTTGCAGATTCTGATACCTTTCGGTATGGACTTACCGAAACAAATCGTCAAAAATGCAAATTCAACTTATAAAGTTAAAAAATAACGCGATGAAAAAAAACGCGCGAAATCGGAGTTCAAACGTTTCACTAATTTTCCCCAGACTTTTCTGGGGAAAACGGGTTTCAACAGCTGCGCTGCGCTCATAGCACATGCGCAGTGAAATAGGTTCGCGCAGCTTGGAAGCGGGTTGTCGGGTGAATACTCGGTGAAGGCTTTGGCGTGAGCTATTTTTCTAATGTTTTGTTGATATCTCACAGGCGCGAGCTTTTTATATGTTATGACAGTAAATTAACTGTTTATATAATTTCATTTGTCTATTTCACCACACGTTCTTCTTACCGAGTCACTTTCTCAGTTCGATACTTAAAAGCAATGTCATTATTTAGCGTTGACAGAATTTCTAACTGTGATATAGATATGTCGTTGTCACAGACAAAACTCAATGTCTTGTTTTATTGACACCTGTGTGTCTGCCTGCCTGTCTAACAATATTCAATACACAGCTGCTATCACTGACCACATGCAATTTGAACTTAACACCAATCAGGCTATACACCATAAACAAAATGCATTGATTTATGGCCCGAGTTCGGTCTCTGTCACATTATGTAATTACACAGACAGGCAGGTGTGATACTTGAACACATGACGTGTTATGATGTCTGTTGATTGCAAAATGTTATACACAAAAAATGAGCCTGTATTTACAAAACCCAACATCTCTATATATACACACACAATGAGCCGTGAAGGCGTCATCTGCTAATGAACCAGCCGTTACACTTGAGTGCACACCCACCCGCTCTGACTGGGTTCGGTATCCCGGCTGCTTCGTTTCTTGGGAAGTAAACCGAAGTACACAATTTTGCACTTTTGATTTGCGATTGTACGCTTATAATTTTGTTTATATGTTTTTTCATTACCAGCAATGTATATTATATGTCATGAATAAGTGATAATTGTGTTTTAATTATGTTTGATTTTTTGGTTGCATGTGACCTTTAAGGTTTTTACACTTCTTTGTTTGTTTTTAGAAACAAGAATACCTGCGCCTCCCTGGTGCTCAATACCATATCCATTTGCAATATTTTTCAAAACTCGATAAACAGTGGACAGAGGGATGCCTGTTCTACTTGAAATCACTTCAGTTGATCTGATGTCCTTATTATAATACTCTAAAATCAACTTCCTCTTCTCTAAATCATCCATACTGAGGATCACTGAAAATGTCGTCTGCTAGCAAGTAAACAAAGGGAGATAACTCTTCACAACTAATGAAACAGGATTAACGGAGTTGTCTCTCTTGAATGAAACCAAGCACTTGATAGCTGGTCAAGGTTGTTTATACTAGAAATACAATTAAACATATTCCTAAAATTCTCAATAATTTCTGGTCATACTATATGTAGATAGATACCATGTTGTTGTTGATGTTTTTGAAAGTGTAGAGATCGGGGTGGTTTAGATCTGAGGCTGTGCGAGTGACGAACTAACAATACATTAAAACAACGCACGCACGCACGCACCAATGCGTTTTCCAGTTTGCAGCTGCAATTCAATTTAGTTCAGTCAATTTTCTTTAACTGAAAGACGGTGATAGCCTAGTAGTTGCGCATCATACCAAACACCCGGGTTCGATTCCCCATATAGGCAGGGGCGTAGCTACCATAATAAAAAAAGCCCGAGCTTACACACGATCATTGCTAAAAGGTTGGGCAAACCTTCAATACTATCTAAATATAAAGCTTTATAACCTATCGGGCTTACACGAAAAAGTTGGTTTGCTACGCGACTGAAATCCATTTCTCTGTCCCCGTTGGTATATTGCTGGAATATAGCTATAAACGGCGCAAAATCTCACTCTCACTCACTCACTCTTGGTACAGTGACGTCCCAACCTTGTCAGCTTGCTGATGGAGTACACCTCTTAGATCATGTAGGCAATACAATGCAGGCAGTGTAGGCAATGTAGGGATGCAGACAGTGTAGGCAATGTAGGGATGCAGGCAGTGTAGGCAATGTAGGGATGCAGGCAGTGTAGGCAATGTAGGGATGAAGGCAGTGTAGGCGATGTAGGGATGCAGGCAGTGTAGGCAATGTAGGGATGCAGGCAGTGTAGGGATGTAGACAGTGTAGGCACTGTATGGATGCAGGTAGTGTAGGCAATGTAGGGATGCAGGCAGTGTAGTGATGCAGACAGTGTAGGCAATGTAGGGATGCAGACAGTGTAGGCAATGTAGGGATGCAGACAGTGTAGGCAATGTAGGGATGCAGACAGTGTAGGCGATATAGGGATGCAGACAGTGTAGGCAATGTAGGGATGCAGACAGTGTAGGCAATGTAGGGATGCAGACAGTGTAGGCAATGTAGGGATGCAGACAGTGTAGGCAATGTAGGGATGCAGACAGTGTAGGCGATATAGGGATGCAGGCAGTGTAGGCAATGTAGGGATGCAGGCAGTGTAGGCAATGTTGGGATGCAGACAGTGTGGGCAATGTAGGGATGCAGACAGTGTAGGCAATGTAGGGATGCAGACAGTGTAGGCAATGTAGGGATGCAGACAGTGTAGGCGATATAGGGATGCAGGCAGTGTAGGCAATGTAGGGATGCAGACAGTGTAGGCAATGTAGGGATGCAGACAGTGTAGGCAATGTAGGGATGCAGACAGTGTAGGCAATGTAGGGATGCAGACAGTGTAGGGATGCAGGCAGTGTAGGCAATGTTGGGATGCAGACAGTGTGGGCAATGTAGGGATGCAGACAGTGTAGGCAATGTAGGGATGCAGACAGTGTAGGCGATGTAGGGATGCAGACAGTGTAAGCGATGTAGGGATGCAGACAGTGTAGGCGATGTAGGGATGCAGGCAGTGTAGGCAATGTAGGGATGCAGGCAGTGTAGGCGATGTAGGGATGCAGACAGTGTAGGCAATGTA